TTTCCACCTTGCTGATCCACGAGGGAAATTGGTCCTATTATACTATGTAAGTGGCGAAAGTTAAAGGTGTTACGAGAGAGCAACACAAAGAAAAGGAGGAGGGATAAAATGAAGAAAGATAGAGGTGTGATATTTAAAAAAGAAAGAACAAATAACAAGAGTAGCCGCCAATCATACATCTCACTTCTGAGACATTTGAGTGTACAAAGTTTTCACACACTTCATCGTATCTCGTGAAAGAACAGAACTAATATCCTTTTGCCCAAGAAAAAACGGGAAACGTTTCTTTTTTTTTTTACACACAAGTAAAAGTAGCACAGGGGCCGAGCTAAGGCACTTTTAATACCCAAAACTAAAAATTTCGATTTATTTATTTTTTGGTCATGTTTCAATCTTTGTAATAGGCCTACATTAATGCACACGAAATAAATTGCAGTGATTCAAAAGTCCCCCTCAGAGATTAAAGAAGGCGTTTTCTCTTTTTGTGTTCTTTTGTGTCGCAGTCATTCTCTAAGCGAAACCTATCTCCAACATAATCAGTCCTTTTCTTTGATAGTTTGATTTCTTATAAAAGGCATAAATCTTATTTTAAATTTACATTAATTAATGTAAAACATACCTCGCCCTCAACCTGCCCATCCCCCACCCCCTCACCTCCCGCCCTCAATCTTGAAAACATAGGGCTGTCAAAAACTATCGTTAAAACAAAGTATTCTTATTACGATCATTGTACCGTAACAATAACAATACGGACACAGTGTCACTGTGTTCGCTTGAAATCAGGAGTGCCAAAGGTGTGATAAGATCAGTTCTCAAAATAATTCCCGACTGCCACTCCGCTGAGCAATATTATATTCACATCACGAGTTTGGTTGCTTAAAAAAAAACCCCAACAATATAACAAGAAACAACAAGAAAACAACTAACAACAAAACTAAACACACACATAAAAGGAAAAAAACCCTACTTTTTTCCCTTTTGAAATAATAATCTGTGAATAGTTTTGGTATGTTCTCACTGCCACAAGTTTGTTCCATCACAAAATTAAGTTATTACATTTTGAACCATCATCCCCCTTCCTCGCCCATGTATGGGGACATTCCACCAGAAGTTCATTTTTGTTCTTCTGGTTCTCATTCTTGTTCCACTTGCTCTTCTTGTCCCCTTTCTTCTTTTTGTTCCTCCCCCAGTTCCCTTTTGTTCTCCTCGCTCTCCTACTGTTTTTGTCTTCTGTTCTAGTTCTTTTTGTCCCTCTCGCTCTCCAACTTTTTGGTTGTTCTTCTAGTTCTTTTTGTTCTTGCTCTTCTATACTTTTTTGTTGTTCTTCTGGATATCTTTGTTCTTCACGCTCTCCTTCTTTACGAGTTCTTCACGCTCTCCTTCTTTACGAGTTCTTCTCGCTCTCCTTCTTTACGAGTTCTTCTCGCTCTCCTTCTTTACGAGTTCTTCTCGCTCTCCTTCTTTACGAGTTCTTCTCGCTCTCCTTCTTTGTGCTCTTCTTGCTTTCTTTCTTGTAGTCTTTTTTTTCTTTTCTTTCAGCACCCCCCCCTCCTCTTCTTGCTTATTTTATTTTGCCTTCCTTGTGGAGTTTCTTCAAATTGTTCTTCTTCTTGTTCTTCTAGTTCTTCTTGTTCTTCTAGTTCTTCTTGTTCTTCTTATTCTTCTTGTTTTTGTATTTTTGTGGTGGTAGTTATTGTTCTTTAGCCAGAGTCCACTACATGCTGCAGAACTCTCCTTCCTTAGAACAACTAACGTACATAAATACATATCACGACCCACGTTCGCTTTTGCAACATAGCGTCTCTTCCCCATGCATTGCCTTCAGGCCAACGACGTACCGCTTTCCAAGGTCTTCTTCATCAGGACCGATGAGTGGTCAAGAGGTATTCTTTTAATCGGGCAAAGGACCGAAGGAAATCGAACCATGGGGGGAGTTTTGGTTTTGATTTTGACGTTAGTTTCGTTTCTGTTTTTTTGTTTGTTTTCCGCTTTGCTTGGTTTTGTTGTTTTCGTTTGCGTGGCGAGTCCCCCTACATCTCAACTAACGAGCCCGCCAAAACCGAGAGAGCGTGAAGAGAATACAGCCATGACCTGCACCAAGGACAGGCTCTCTTTTGTCAACTAGCTGTAAGGAGTGGTGGAGGGGAGGGGAGGGGAGGGGAGTGAGGGGAGGCAAGGGGAGGGAGGGGGCATTGTAGCGCCATTGTTCCGTGGCCAGAGCTGTGCCATTGGGAAACAGTTCCAAAAACATGATTATCAAAAAAGTTTATTGTGTTGGAAGGAAGGCATGGCCCGACGCGTCACAGCATGGGGGAGGGGGATTCATATATCTCACGGTTCTGGTAGACACCTCTCTCTGTCTCTTTCCTCTCTCTCTCTCTCTTTCTCTGTGTGTGTGTGTCTGTCTGCCTCTCTCTCTCTCTCTCTCTCTCTCTGTCTGTCTGTCTGTCTGCCTCTCTCTCT